TATGTTACACTGATCTTGAATTTCAATTTGGCCAGATGGCGATAGCGAAATTTTTTAGGATGGTGACGCCAGGGTTCAAACATTGTTTTTAGCTTCAAAGAAATGTTAAAAGGTTTTCAAAAATAACCTAATTTAGGAAGGGCTAGCTTATTAACGACTTTTGGAAATAGGTAAAAGAAAAAAAAAGGTTTACAGTCACCAAAGTAAAAACGATTTCTAATAGAAATAACTATTTTTTTGAGATTAAGATTTTTGGTTGGGTTTTAAGACGATTAGTAAGGATAGTAAGGAAGTTCGGATTCAGTGTTTAAGATAGTGTGTTTAGATTTGTTGACCAAAATAAGGGTATGAGAGATAGTAAAATATATGAAGTGTTTAAGTTTGTTGGAGTAGCTATCACTTTATTACATATACTTACTGATTCATGTAACCTCTTTCTTTAAGATCTATGTTTTTTCGTTTCTTGTAATTTTCTAGTGACATAGTGATATAGTGATATCGTAAAGCAATTTTTGTAATTTGAATGGTTAATAATCACGGTAGATATACAAAAATTAACCAATCAGACAATCTTTTTCCTATGACGAACAACCGAATCCAGTATTTATCATTATCTGGCAGGTATCGGAACGGCTGCATTAATATTAACCGTTGCAAATAATTGTCGTCATCCTCTTCATATTTATAAAAATTGCATTCTTTCTATAAACACGAATCTTTATTTTTTTTCAAATTACATCCTTGCTTGAACACCACACCTCTTGTCGTGATTGTCGCATTTTGTAGTTGTCGACTTACACTCTGCATTAGCATTTGTATAAAATAAGGAAGCGACAAAGGTATGAACGTTCAGACTAAGGAAGCTTTCTACTTAGTTAATCAAACTTCATGTCACGCGTTTAGCTTGAATATATTATTGATCAGATTCTTACGTTTCATTTTTCTTAACTTTTTTTTTATACGTTTTTTTCCCATGGTATTGTTGTTAACATTTACTACTTCGTGCTAAATGAAAAAAAAATGTAACAGTAATTACAATTCTTTGAATAAGTTCTACTGACAATGTCAGGACTTGGGGCTGGAAACGGTAATGAAAAACGCGCTGGCCATTGGGGACCACGTCAGCCCCCAAATCTTGATCCTAATCATGAGTGGGCTGCACTTCGCCGTCGTTATGAATGGAATGACTCTTATGATGAAGGCGTTGCACCAAGAGATGAACAGTTGGAAGCAGAACTTTTCGGAGAAGACAACCACGTACATACTGGTATTAACTTCGCGAAATATGATAGCATAAAAGTGTCCGTTAAGGGCAAAAATATAAAACCCATATCCACGGTAGGATTTTGTTTGTGATTAAACAAGACAATACTTGAAACACATTTGTAATATTAGTAAAAACTCTTACTGTAATTTGTAGTTTGAAGAAGCCAATCTTCACCCAGCTATGAAAGAGAACGTCCGATTGGCACGATATCAAGTTCCTACACCAGTCCAGGTATTGTTGATGGATCAGACATTTTTTATTTATCAATATTATAGATGCTGCAATAGATTTCCAAATCATACATATATTTAATGATAAGCATCAGTGATTTTTATAGTATTATAATGCGAATTCAACTAATGCAGCCTTTATTCGTGTTATGGTTATTCTATTGTTTTTCAGAAATATTCTATTCCAATTATTACTGAGGAAAATGATTTGATGGCCTGCGCACAAACTGGTAAATGTTTTTTTTTTTTTTTTTCTTAATGCTTGTGTTTATTGTGTTTATTATTTACTTTAACTTCTTAATAGGATCGGGTAAGACAGCAGCTTTCCTTATTCCAATATTATCTAAGCTGTTTGGAAAAGCGAAAAAGCTTGCGGCACCCCGACCGCCACCTGGCACACGTAGGTTTAAAGCCGAACCATTGGTCTTAATCCTTGCACCTACACGTGAGTTGGCTACTCAGATTTTTGATGAATGCCGTCGATTTACCTATAGGAGTATGATGAGGCCATGGTGTGTTCAGTTTTATATTTATGGTAATGAAAATTTCTTTATAGAATTATTAACGTATATAATAAATTTGTCATATTATAGCGTGGTCTATGGAGGTGCAGAGACTGCTCCGCAAAAGAATGAATTAGCAAAAGGTTGTGACGTGTTGACAGCTACGCCAGGTCGTTTGGCTGATTTCTTGGAGAGAGGCCTCGTTAGTCTCCGCAGAGTCAAGTAAGTTTACTACTAATTAAATATTATATTATTTATTTAATATTAGGCTTTTAAATCCTTGTATTATAGATTTTTAGTTCTTGATGAAGCTGATCGAATGTTAGATATGGGATTCGAAAAAAAAATTAGGGAAATTGTTCAGAAATCAGGTAAAACAGATTCTAAATATATTTGTTTAAATGTTTCGATTAATAAATTTCTCC